GCGGGGCTCGGGAGCCAGCCCCGGCGAGAAGGCGCGGAGCCATGGCCGATGGGGGCGAGGGCGAGGACGAGATCCAGTTCCTGCGAACTGTAAGCGGCACGCAGCCCGCGTTTCCCCCGGGGGCCGGGGCCGGGCAGAGCGGCGGGGGCGCGCGGGCGGGGCGAGGTGCCCCCGGGGCCCCGGGGGAGCCGTGTGGGGGCGACGGGAGGGAAGGGTGCGTGTCCGTGCGCGCGTGGGGGAAGCCGGGGCCGGAGCGCGGCGGGAGCTCTGAGAGCGGGCGGGAGGCGCGCAGCCTCCGGTCCCGGGGCGCCGAGGACCGGCGCCTCGCAGCCGCCGGAGTCCCGGAGGAGGGCCCGTCCGGCCTGACCCGTGGCGGGGCTTGCGCCTTCCGGATCGCCCCTGGGGGTGGTTGGTGGTGCGGGCCGGGGGGCCTGTGGGGCCCCGGGACGAGGGCTGTCGCCGGGAATTCCGCCGCGGCGCGGTTTCCCCGGCTTGCGGGCTGGAACCGCGCGCTGTCGCGCAACCCCGGTACTCGCCTACTTGGCGTAGAGCGCGCCGCGGTCGGCTGGTCCCGGAGGAGGTGCGGGACGCGGCCCCCCCCTCCCATCTCCCCCAAGTCAGGGTGCTGCGGAGGGGAGGAGGAATCGCCCCGGTGGTCACCGAGGTTCCCTGGCACGCGGGCCACGGTGCTGCGACCGTTTGCAGAACGTGGAAGGGATGGGAAGCGAGTGTGTGTGTGTGTGCGCGCGCGCACGCGGGGGTGGCGGGGACATCGTGAACGTGTCGTTCTCTCAATGCTGGCTTATTGAATGCCTAGTGCAGCAAAGTGTGAGCGCCTGTGCGTGTGTAAGGGCAGGGTGACTGCCCGGAATTTCCACACTGGGTGGCAGCAGGGAAAGGTTGGCTCCACACTGATAGAATTTTTTTTCTCCTTAAGTACCTCCTGGCGCTGCTCCTTCCCCTCGCTGATTTGTTCGAACGCTGCAGATACTTCCCAGGCTGAGGCATTGCTCACCTCAGAGCTGGGACTGGAGAGCCTCTTGGCAAAAGAAAATGCCATAACTTTGCGGTAGGAATAACCTAGTTAGCATTTGCAGCATCCTTTCTTTCCGTCGTTCCTTTCCCGGCACTTGTTTCCTCCCCTCCGAAAGATTTTTCCTTCCAGGATTCCCCCCCACCCCCGCCCGAGGACTGCAGCTTCTGCTTCTTTTCCTCAACGGTGCAAAAGAGATCACTTCCCAATTACCTGCACGGTCACGAAAATCATAGATTTAAATTTTGAAATATTAGCCAGACAGTAACTTTTAGGTGTGAAAATAGTGTAGATGATGTATACAGGAGCAGAACAAGTGAAAATGGTCAATTTGTTCAGGAACGTTGTAAGTGGCCATTTTTTTTTTCTTTTGGTCTTCTAATTTTTGAAGGCATTTATTTTTTCCTTAATATTTACGGTGGGGGTGGAAAGCCTTTGTAAAGGATAAGATCCAGGGTCGGCCTCAAATGGGGAATGATCTGAGCTAACAGCTACATGTTATGCACCATTATATATGCTGTTTGAAGTACAACTGGCCCACGACTGGACTCTGAAGAGCCTGTAGGCTAAATCCTTGCTCGTGGGGAATGTTTT